CATGTCATAGGGCGAGAAGACATCTGTCCCCTCGGTTTCTCCTGCTGTATCTCCCACCGCCCGTTGGTTCTGTGCAGTCCCGTTCAGCCCTCGTCCACACGATTTTGGGGCATTTCTGGCCACCCCAGTTTCCTCTTCCAGTGACACCTCCTCAGAATCAGCTTCTTCACCACACATAAACTCTGGGTCGCTGGCGTTATCGTCAGAGCCTGCTGGCTGTCCCTCATTCGTTGGTACTTCCACCGCTCCTGGCCTGTCGTGGCGTTCCCGCCAGGTGCCAGTACGCGCGGGGATCTCAGACCCCCCCACCAGTGCCCTTCCCCCACGTCCTCCGCGCGCTCCCCGTGCACCGAACCCCCGTTGAGTCCGCCCCCCGCCTGTTGGCGCTCTCGTCCCCCCGCCCATCGCACCACGTCCCGCTGGTAACCACGGTGTCCGGCCTCCCCGGGGCGGTCCCCAGGTTATTGCCGTTCGTCGTGTCGCGCGGCGGGTGTTGTTCGCGACGGCGTTCGTTGTGTTGGGCGCCACAGCGTGCGCTGTCGTCGCTGGTGTCGCGTTGGGTGCAGGAGCACCCCGGGTGATTCCTGGCTGGCGGCTTCCAGGATCGGCCACCTCGCGCACCTCCTGCAGGTTCGACGATGACGACCGATGCGCTCGCTCTGATGGCGATTGCCCTTGCAGAAGCCAGCCCAGGAGGGGTCCCGGGGAGCCAGGTCCCAGCCCTGCTCCGGGCCGTCTCGGCGCTGGCTGGGCCCGCAGCCTTGTCTTCGACCTCGAACGTGCAGCGCCGGAAGAAGCGCCGCTTGCGAGTCCCGGAGCCTCTCCCTCTGCCTGGCCGTGCTCCTGCCTGCTTACGGCCACGACAGCAGCAGACGTTCCGACGCAAGCCGCGGCAGTCGTCGCGCCTTCCTCCGCCGGGGCGTCGCCGTGTTCCCCAATCGCCGTGGACACCGCCGCCGCCAGTGCCGCCGCCGTTACTGGCGCAGGCGACGCAGACAACGCCACCTCAGCGGATTGCTCAGGGGCCGCGCCCGGCCTCATCTCCTCAGCCTCTGCCTGTGCAGCCCGAGGGGTGGCAGCGGGTGAAGCTGAGCCGCCGTCAACGGCAGCGGCAGAACCGCCGGCAGGCGCAGGGTCTGCCGCGGTCCCCACTACAGGCCCGTTAGCATCAGCCACCACAGGCTTCCCCGTCGCAGCTGCCGACACAATCTCCGCTTCGTCGTTTTCCCCTACCCCTTCGTCCGCATCAGCTGCGTCCCTCGGTGTCACATGCTCCCCCGTCGCCGCTCCTGCCCGCTCAGAACCCCCAGGCAGTACCGTCTCCGCCGTCGTTCCATCGGTACTTGTATGGCAGCCCCCCTGTGCAGCGCCCATGGCAGCCGTTGACACCTCCCGTACCACCTCCTCCTCCTGCCGTGGTGCCTGGTGGGCCCCCAACCCTCGTCGAGCAACGCGTGATGCACGTGGGTTCTTGCTTGACACTCCTGTCGTATGTGCTTGACCAGCTTCACGTGTCCCTGGTGCAGCAAGAGGTGCAGATCGGGGCGATGCAGCCAGCAGAGCAAACGGCGGCGGTGGCGGCAGCGGAGGAGTTGAAGCATTACCTCCCGCTGATTGGCTTTGTACCGGGCTCCCCCGGAGCTGCCCTTGGGCCCGGTCCTGGTGCTTTGGCGCGGCTTGCCGAGTCTGCCCAGGAGGACCCGCTCGACCTTGTAGCCGCTGCCGCATCCGTCCTGCGCTGGTTGGACGGGCGGCTTTGCTGGGTCCTGGTTGAGTAGGGGGTTGCTTCCCCTTGCCAGCCCCCTGTGAGGCGGGCCTGGCCTTGGGCTTCCCCATGGCGGTGTATGCACGCCTGGGGGTGGTGCATTTGTTGTAGGAAGCTACCCCTGCATGTTGTATCACTTGCTGCTAAAGTCCCCGCTCTCCTTGTTCCTTGCCTCCCCTCACGCGCGGCCGAAGGCCGCGCTGGCGAGCGGCGGCCGCCGAAGGCGGCCGGCGCGAGCCGCCGGTTTTGGAGAGTAAACTGAACTCACCAGTGAAGAATGAGCTCAGAAGGGAGCATCTAGGAACTATATACTAGGGTACTAGGCTGAAAAACGGCTAAGGACTGGATCCTACACTAGAGAGGGCTGGGAAAACGGCTAAGGACTAGTCCTAAACCATGTCTCTCGCTCTCTCACTCACTGTCTCTGCCTCGGACGTCTTTCCCTGGATCCACCTCAGGGTCTCGTCATCTTCCCAGATGTCGTCAGCTCCTCGTTGTGCGTGCTGCTTCGCTCCTTCTCCGTCAATCTCGCGGGCCATTGCCACCAAGCACGCCTCTGGGCTAGTAGGGGGCGGGTTCCGGGAGAGCCCGTCCACGTGCTGCAACGTTTTCCCCGCTCGGTGCCGAATCGTGAACTCGTACTCCTGCAATCTCATCGCCCATCGGGCATTCCTCCCTGTCAGAGCCTGGTTAGTCATCAGCCAGGTTAGAGGTTGATGGTCTGTGACTAACGTGAACGGTCTCCCTTGCAGGTATACCCGGAAATGAGTGATGGCCCACACCACCGCTAGCCCTTCCCCCTCATAGGAGCTGTAGTTGGCTTCTGCGGGGTTGCAGCTCCTGCTCGCAAACGCCACTACCATCTCCTGTCCTTCCCGTTCTTGACATAGGATACCTCCCATGCCGGCACTGCTCCAGTCCGTGTAGAGCGTGAAAGGATCCTCTTTGCTGGGCAGAGTGAGCACTGTCCCGGTCTTCACAGCCTTCAGTAGGGCTTTGAATGCCCCCTGCTCTGCCTCTCCCCACTGCCATGGCTGCTCCTCTCTCAACAGCTTGTTCAATACTGCGGCCGTGCGACTGAAGTTAGGTACAAACTTGCGGTAGTAGTTGAGGAAGCCTAGCACCGCCCGCAGCGTGCTACGATCCTTAGGGGCGGGGACTCGGTCCAGCACCTCAACTTTCGCCTGTTGGATGCTCAGTCGCCCCCCTTGTACCTCGAACCCTAGATACTTCACGGTGCTGTTGCCAAAACTGCACTTCTTCGGATGGCAGGTCAGTCCTGCATCTCGTATAGCCGCCAGCGTGTCGCTCACGTCCTTCACGTGCTGCTCATCGGAGGCGCTGAACACCACCACGTCGTCTATGTAGCAGGCTGCCGCGGGGACATTTCTCAGCACTACATCCATCACCCTCTGGAACAAAGCCGGCGCGTTCTTCATGCCGAAGGGCATGAACTTCCACTCGTGTAATCCATCCGGCCTATGGAAGGCTGTCTTTTTGCGGTCCTCCTCCCAAATCGGTATCTGGTTGAACCCCTGGCGGAGATCCAGCGTGCTGAACACTACCGCCCCCTGCAGCCTGTCGAATATCTCCTCGGCTGATTGCATGGGGTACCGATCCGCCACCGTCACTTTGTTAAGCCCTCAGTAGTCCCCACACATCCTCCTGGCCGACACTTCCCCCGTGAGATCTTTCCGTGCAGCCACCACCGTTGCTGCTGCATAGTCAGTGTCCGAGTTCTGGATGAGGCCCGCAGCCAATAGCTCGGCACACTTCTCCCTGCAGATATCTAGATCCCCGGGACTCATCCTCCGTTTCCTCTGGTATATGGGGACTTCTGTCGTCAGTTTCACTTGCATCTGATGCGTGTTGCACTGGCCCAGCTCTTGCAGGGTATAAGCGAACGTCTGCCGGTGCATCCTCAGCACCTCCTGCAACGCTCGCGCCGCTTCTGCCCCCATTCCTATGCCAATGGGCCAGTCGTCATCCGAGCCCCTTTCCTGACTTGGCCTCTCCGCGGGGGCTGGCAGTTCTCCGTCCGGAGGCAGCACCCCCTGATCCGCACCTCTCTCCGTTACTCCCACGGCCATGTAGGACCATCCTTCTAAAATCCGCGCCTCTTCCTGTTCTTCTATCGCTTGCAGTTGGCGCCGCTTCATCTCAGCCTCCTCCTCCTCTTGGTACATCTCGCTGACCTCTATGCCGCGTTGCAGCTCCTTCCGCTTCAAGTGCATGCGGATAGTCTCCACTAGCCACGCCATGACGTTCAAATCCATAGCTCGGCCCAGCGCCGCGCGTCTCTGGGGCTCCGTCACTCGAGGATGGGCGGTGGCTCCCAGGCTGTGGCCCATGGCTAACTCCCGTTCGGCAGCTGTAGGTTGCTCCCACCGCTTCCCCACTACATCGTAGATCATTCCCGGACCTGGCAGGTCCCCCTCCATCACGAACCCGTACGCGTCCACGTAGGACACGAGCGTAGGCAGCGCCTGCCTCGGCTTCCCTGGCACGTTGCACTGATATTGTGACGGATGGTCAGGAGTGGTGACGGGTGCGGGCAGTCGGTTGGGACCCAGGATGTCACTGACCAGCCTGGGTTCGGGCCGTTGCATCTGCGCGAGCGCGTGACGCATGCTCGCGTCCGAGATCCCGTTCTGCCAGTACCTTCTTGGTCGGTGGGCCCTGGACCCTAACTGCACTGCGTCAACCGCCTGCCCCTTGCCGACGGCCGCCTCCACCTCCGCAAACGCCCTCCTCACGTGTTCCCGGCAATCCTCGGCGAAGTCCACGTTTTCCAGAATGTACAACACTTCCCCCTGCCGGTTCTGGACCATCTCCAATACCCTCTTCAGATCCCTGAAAGAGGCCCCCCGGATATCTTCCATCCCCATCCCCTCTCCTCCACACGAGTACCCTTGACATTCCCATCCCGCGATGATGACATCGATCTGCCCCCACTACTCCAGTTTCTCCACCGTAATGGTCCTCACGTCATCCACCACTTCTTCATCCTCGGCTGGGATAGCAGACTCCGCTATCTGCTCCGGGTACTCTTCCAGTAGCAGCCGTGCGTGATGCTGAGCCATCCGCCGCACCACTGGGTTCCGTTCCACATGAATCCATTTCCGCACTCTGCATCCCGCCTTCAGCACTACCGCCAACCCGGTACCGATGCCTCCGTAGAGCTCCATCACACACACCGACCCCTCGAGCGTCCATAGCCTGGAGATCCTCTCCTTCAGAGACGGTGGCTCTCTCCCCTGTTGTCTCCTCTCGATGCGGCGTTCGTACTCCGACATACAACTCTCCGCCTCGGTCAGAGTGCAGACGCAGAACAGGAAAGTCCGAGCCAAAGCTCCTCCTGAGCTGGAGACGAGCTGCGCGGATCCAGTCGATCAACACCTCAGTGACATCACCCTTGCTGCGCAAGGGGAAGACTGTGGTGTAACGCGAGTAGTCGTCAACCACCAGCAGGAAGTAGCGCTCGTGACCCTGTCCACGGACGCGGGCTGGGCCCCACACGTCCATGTGAAGCGTCTGCAGTGGGGCCGCTGTCGGGGGATACTGAGAGGAGTGAGGGGCAGCCCGCAGCCGCCCCTCGACACAGGGGACGCAGGTAGGGCCAGGCCCCGGAGGAAGGGGAGGGAGGGACCGGGGAAGACCAGAGACAAGGACACGGGAGGCCATGCCTCGGAGACGAGGCAGGGAGGGGTGACCAAGGCGGTGGTGCCACAGGAGAGTCTCGTGAGACAGGAGGCGACACGAGCAGGGGGCAGACTCAGGGCCAGACCTGGACGCTGCAGCAAACACCTGACCCGACGCAGCTACCTGACCAGACGCAGGGACAGGAGGAGACTAAGTGGTCAGGGTGTACAGGCTCGGCCCCGGCCGACGCGCAAACGTGGCCAGGTGCCGGCCTGTGCGAGCGTCCGAGCAGTGGGTCACCCGCTGACTCGCAGGAGTAAACTGGTGAACCCCCGCATCCTGTAGGTCAGCACCACTCACCAGGTTCGTAGAGAACGAGGGGAGGTAAAGACCAGACAAGGTGCCAGAGGGGGCCGCCGGACACGGGAGGACAGTGGAGAAGTGAGAAAGGACAGGACCCCCAGAGGGGTCTGCCAGGGAGACTGCAACCGGCCGACCAAGCGGCGTGAGTGTGGTGCGGTCTCGAAAGAAGGAGCGAGAAGCCCTTGAGTCAAGTGTGAAGGTGAGGGAGGCCAAAGTCGACGTGGTACCTGATAGCGCAGACTCACCAACACCTGAGGACGCAGACGCACTGGCTCCTAGAGCAGCAGCCTCACTGGCACCTAGAGCAGCAGCCTCACCAGTACCTAGAGCAGCAGTACCAATGCCCGGGTCGGGCGGGAAACACCGGTAACAGTCACCCTCATCGCTAATAGTCACAGCATACATGGCAGCAAGAATAGCATCAAAAGTCAAGATCAAAGACAGCTACACCCACCCTAGACACCTCACCCCAGCGGGGGATCTCAGTGGCCTCCGGGAACTGATGACGCCAAGTGTCCGTCAGGCGGCCAAAGCAGCGCTGGGTGGGGTGTGCACCCCCACACTACTCACCTGCGCGGTCGCCGGTGCGTAGGACGTAGGTGCACAGACCGATACCCCCACCACGCTGACGTGCAGCGTACCACTCACGGAGTTGCTGAGGGGGGGGGGATGTCCCGAGAACGCTGCTGCTGCTGCTGCTGGCGCTGACCACCACCGGAGCCGCCCCGCTGCGTAGCGCCACCCCGACCAGCTCCACCTCCTCCACCACCGCCTCCTCCACCTCCGCCACCAGCGCCGCCTCCGCTCCCACCGCTACCGCCTCCGCCTCCACTGCCGCCACCGACACCTCCACCCCCGCCACCACTCCCACCGCCACCCCCACTCCCTCCGCCGCCTCCACCGCCGCCTCCACCACCCCCGCTAGCTCCACCAGCGCCCCTGCCCCCCTTGCCCTTGCCAGAGCGGCGTCTCCCGCTGGGGGTAGACGCCGCACCGACCGACTCAAGACCAACGAGGTCGGTCGCAGCAGTAGAGGCGACAGAGGGCAAAAGGGGGGAGGGGGAACACCCCTCAAAGATCGGGGTGCGAGGGTCACCACGAGAGGCTCCTAGAGCAACTATGCTCTTCTCCGCTGCCAAGAGGGCCTTCTCGAGGAGGTCAACAGTGAGAGTGGTGGGACAGACTCAGAGGAAGTGGTCTCTGACTACACGAAGGGAGTCAGGGAGGCGGGTGACTATGTAGTAGAGAGTGATGTACATGGGGGGGGGGGGGGGTTCCTGGCGCAGAACTCAGCAGGAAGCGCAGCGCGGTAGCGAGTGTCACTAGTGCGGAGGTGCGTAATGAGGTCAGCAACTGTGGGAAAGGCAGCAAGGTCAGGGAAGAGGTACGGTAGCATGAGGCGGCTCAGTGCAGCAGTGGCAGGGGAAGAGTAGCGCGCAACTACAGCGTCGTACAAGGTTTGAGCACTCTTGTACTGACTAAAGTGCGCGCGCTCAGTGGTAGGCAGGTGGTGACACACAGCAAGACGTGCAGCAGCAGCATCGCGAGTGGCCCACTGTGAGCGAACAGTGGCGTCGGCATCGGCGGCAGGGGCAGGGGAAGCACCAGAGGTGGGGCGACGGGGCCGGGGCGCAGGTAGGGCGACGGGGCCGGGGCGCAGGTAGGGCGACGGGGCCGGGGCGCAGGTAGGGCGACGGGGCCGGGGCGCAGGTAGGGCGACGGGGCCGGGGCGCAGGTAGGGCGACGGGGCCGGGGCCGTAGGTAGGGCGACGGGGTCGCTAGGGCGACGAATCAGGGGCCGCTAAGGCGGCGCGACTTGGCCGCTAGGGCGGCTCGACGAAGTCTGAGAGGGGAGCGCGACTCGGGCTGAGCGCGCTCCGGGCAGGAAAAAAAAAAAAAATCGACTTGGTGGGCCCTAGGCACAGTTCCCACGATGGAATCTGCTCGATACCATGAGAAAACTGAAACAAGAATGATGTGAACGAAGGAATGGAATGTGGTACAAATATGCAACCCTAGAAATGTGTACCTCATATAGGCTACCCCACTACAGCCTGTCAGAATGTTCTCATGTAGCCTGTAGTGGGGTGCTCTATAGCGAGTACAACCCTGTTAGGGTTTGCTATTTGTATCCCCATTCTTGCTAGTCAATCCCTCTTTCTTTCTTCTAGTTTTGTCATACTATCAGAGCAGGTCGATCCTCTTGGATCGATCCTGTGGGTGGGTTACCACCACCTCGTTGCTTCCGCTGCAACTGCTACTGCTACTCTCTGTGCCGCACGCCCCGTGGCGTGCGGCAGTTTTTTCTTCCCGCCGTGCGCCCCGAGGATCGCGGCGGTTTTCTGCCCGCCGTGCGCCCCGAGGCGCGCGGCGGTCCTCTGCCCGCTGTGCGCCCCGAGGCGCGCGGCGAGCTTTTGCCTCGTTGCTCGGCGCGTCGCCCTCGGGAGGCGCTGCGACGGGCGACGCGGACCCGCGCGCCGGCCCGTCGACGCCCGTGCGCCGCTGCCCCGGCCCGTCGCCGCCCGTGCGCCGCTGCCCCGGCCCCGCGCAGCAGCCCCGGCCCGTCGCAGCCCGTGCGCCGCGAGCCCCGGCCCGTCGCCGCCCGTGTGCCGCTGTCCCGGCCCCACACCGCCCGTGCGCCGCCCGTCCCGGCCCCGGCCCCGCGTGCAACCCCCCCCTTTTCCCGTCGCCTGTCGAGGCGACCCTCGGGGGCCGCTTACCTGGGGGAGGGGGGCGAGCGCCGCCCCTCCCCCCCCCCCTTTCTGCTGCCTGTCTTGGCGCCCTGGGCGGCCGCGCGTCGGTTCCCCCCCCCCCCCCCCCCTCCCCCTCCCCCGTTACCTCCCTACCCGCCATCCCGCCCTGCCTGAGTTAGGGTTTGGGGACTGGCGAGTAGGGGGTGGCGAGTATGGGGGTGGCGGGTGTGTGGTCTCCCCTGCTCCTCCTCCTCCTCCGTCTCCCACTGCTGCAGCTGCCGCTGAGGGGGGTGGGTGTGTGGGAGTCGACGGAGTCGTGCTAGGGGGTGGGGTGTGAGTGACCCTAGGGGTGTAGTAGGGGGTGTGTGCAAGGGGGGGTGAGACTGTTTGGGGAGCTGAATGAAGGATGCCGCTGTGTCGCTAGCAGCACCTGTAGTCCGAGGGCTTCGTCCGGTAGCTCAGTCGTAGCCAGCTGTGCCAGCCGCCCGTGGGTCCGTTGCTCGTCTGCCGCTACTTTAGCCGCGGGGCCAGTTACCCCTGTAGTCCGGGGGCTTCGTCCGGTAGCCGCTGTGCCAGTCTGCCTCCTGTTGCCCGTGTGTCTGCAGCTTCATCCGTCGCCTCCTATCTCCTTTCCTCTCACTCTCGCCTCCTCCTCCTCACTTGCCCTCTGCGATAGCCTCTAGCTTTGCTCATAATTCTTAACTTTAAACTATTGCTTCTTGAACTTGTGCTCAGAATGTGTGGTGACATTGTGATCCACCCTGAGCTTGTACTGCTTTGCTTGCTCTGCTGATTACACCCCACTTTGGCTATGGGGGTGTGTTAGAATGTTCTCATCTAGCCTGTAGTGGGGTGCTCTATAGCGAGTACAACCCTGTTAGGGTTTGCTATTTGTATCCCCATTCTTGCTAGTCAAATCCCTCTTTCTTTCTTCTAATTTTGTCACAGCCTACAGAACATTATGATTTGTCATGACCTCACTAGAGTAGTCAAGCGAGTCAGCTCCACCCGCGTCCAGGAATGAAGGGGAGTGTTACGATATGAAGTTTTATGAGAAGGCATTCCTGTATGCTGCAGGAGCCGACTCTACCGAGTACGAAGTCGAGGAGTCAGAAGAGTCGAAGCGACGCAGCAACCGTCTGACCAAGACCGATGTAGGCAGAAACATTTGAAGTGGAAAGAGCGGGAACAGGTTCAAAATGGGTTCCCGCACCGCACGGTTTGAAATTGTTGTAATAAGGGAATGTACCCCTTAGAGTACATGGCTAGCCTATGTCTTTTCGTATTCCCCTGTATTCTTATATAAACCAGATGTATGCATGTTATTATCAACTCAGTCATTTACATTCACTCTGACCTGAGATTCAAACTTTCGCTGCAACACTACTCTGCGATCAACCCTGAGCGATCCTTCGCTAAGTCCCACTTGGGATTGTAACATAACTAAAGGGAAAAAAATCGTATTGCTTTAAGAAATTGTATTGCTTCCTATAAATAAAACGAACTACAAAATATATTTATGATATAAATTAGACTTACCACCCATACGTCGAATCTTGGGTACCGGTATATTAGCATTATTGCATTTCAATCAATCAGAATAACTTGGGTATATTGTGAAGAAAGGAACGTGAATGAAATGACTACGAATGAAGTGAATACAAATAGGAAACCCTAGTTGGGTTGTACCCCCTATGGGATACCCTACTATAGCCTACACAAATAAGTAAGCTATAATATTCTGACACACCCCCATAGGCAAAGTGGGGGAGAACAAGGGGTCACAAGACCAGTCAAGCAAAACAAAGCAAAGCTCAGGGTGGATCACAAAGTCACCACACATTCCGAGCATAAGTTCAAGGGCCACAAGGCCAGTTCACATGCAAGACCATATATAGAGATATACAAGAGTCAAGCAAGCAAGAGCAAGAGTATATATAGGTCAAGGTACAAGCAAGGTCAAGAAGTGAGCAAGTGAGGCAAGACAGGCACAAGGCCCAGCTGCGTGCAGCAACGCTGATGATCACAAGGCGCAAGTGCCTTGGTGAAGACATCAGCAGTGTTGGCCTCAGAGGCCACGTACGCAAGTCGCAACTGTCCACGCTGCTGTAGCTCACGAGCAAGAAAGTAGCGGAGAGCAATGTGCTTTGTCCTGTGCTCAAGTCCCTGCTCTCGACACAAGGCCAGCATGGCCTTGTTGTCTACGTACAGGACTGGAGGAGAACGAGGCGGCTCTCCAAGGTCGGTCAACAGGTAGGTGAGCCAGCGTAACTCCTGTGCAGCCATAGCCCCGGCGTAGATCTCAGCCTCACAACTGGAGCCGAGAACAGAAGACGAGCGGGTAGCCCGCCACGAAACAGAGCCGGAACCAAGGCTGAAGGTGTAACCCTGTGACGACCGCTGCGTAGCCTGGTCGTCAGCCCAAGAAGCGTCCGCGTGCCCAGTGAGGACCACTGGACTGCGCCCTCCCAGCACTAGCCCCATGCCCGACGTATTGCACAAGTAGCGCAACACCCTCTTCGCTGCAGCCATGTGCTCTGGTCGGTGTCTCCCAGGAGCAACATAGCGTGCGAGAATGCTAAGAGGGTATGCAAGGTCAGGTCGTGTGCAGGTCATCAGGTACATGAGGCAGCCAACAAGCTCTGCATACGGGCCACTCGACTCTACGGACTCATCCGAAGGCAGAGCTGAGAGCGAGTGGCGAGTAGGCAGAGGAGTGGCCTGAGGCGAGGAGTACGTGAAGTCGAAGCGCTGAAGGACCTGCTGCACCATGTGTGACTGAGTCAGGGTAATGGTGCGGCGTGCTCTGTCCCGGGTGATCTGCAAGCCAAGGTAGCTGCGCAGTTCACCCAGGTCAGTGCACGTGTGTCTCTTCTGCAGCTCGGACTTCACGTAGGCGAGTCCAGCAGTGTCAACTGTGGCAAAGACCAAGTCGTCGACGTACACGAGGATGTAGAACGGCGGCAGAGAGGTGTCGGTGCGCAGAAACAGCGACGGGTCGGCAGTAGAAGGAGCAAACCCAAGTGCCGCCAGTGTAGTCCTCAGTGTGTCATGCCACTCACGTGGCGCCTGTCAGAGACCGTAGACTGGACGCCGGAGACTCCACTGGGTACCAGGAGGGAAAGACCCAGTGAAGCCAGGTGGGCGACGCAGCCAGATCTCCTCGTGCAGGCTGCCCTGCAAGAAAGCTGTGCTGAAGTCGAGAGAGTGCAGCTCGTAGTCACGGTGAGCAGCAACGTGCAGCAGTACCCGAAGAGTGGTCATCTTCGGGGTGGGGGAGAAGGTCTGAAAGTAGTCAACCCCCTGCCGCTGACTGAAGCCACGAGCCACGTAACGCGCCTTGAAGACAGGCGGAGAACCCGGCGGCCGCTTCATCCTGAAGATCCACATGCCACTGACGATGTTCGCCCCAGGAGGGGGGACAGCGTCAACGTAGGTGCCTGTGGACTTCCAGGAAGCCATCTCTGCATCCATAGCTGCCTGCCACTGAGAGGAGTAGGGACCCTCTATCGCCTCCGCGTAAGAGCGCGGAGTCGAGATGTCTAGTGCATCCGGGTCTCCCTCAGGGGCTAGCAGTACAGACGCGAGATGAGGTGAAGCGGCGGCCAGACACTGGAACTCCTCCTGCCTGTCCTCAAGGACGTCCGTGCCAAGGGCACACTCACCCCCGACGGACGGAGGACAGGCAGACTCAGACTCAGCGACAAGACTAGCAGCGTAGTCTAGACGACAGCGCGCAGCAAAGTCGACAAGCTCAGTGACAAGGGCAGACGCAGCAGAAGACTCGAAAGAAGGGTCAGTGACAACAGTAGCAAGGAGACGCGTGACAGTAGGACTGGCAGCACGAAGAGAGTCCGACTTCGGGTCGGCAAGAGCAGGAAGAGAGGAAGCAGGAGGAGAAGGCAAAGGGGCACGCAGGGGAGCAGTAAACGGACGCAGAGACATTTGGTGCGTGCCAGGGACAGGAGGAGGACGCTGACGCGAACCGCGACCACTAGCGCGCAGAGTACGAACAGGCGACGCAGGACGAGACGCTGGCTCACGACGCTCGGTAAGACCTCTAGTCGGACTAGTGTAGGGAGAAGGAGCAGGCAAAGGGGAGGCAGGCTGTAGCTGTGACTGTGACGAGACAGGCTGTGGACCCTCTATTGGAGGAGGAGGAGGACCAGGAGAAGGTGTAAGACCAAGAACCTGCTGCAGGAGCGGAACGAAGTACGGTCGGGGCCGCGCGGCGACGTCAGGAACAGCAGGGACAGCACCAGTACCCCCAGCAGGAGTACCCGCTCCAGCAGCACCTCCAGCAGCACCTCCAGTAGCTCCAGAACCTCCAGCAGCACCACCAGGAGCACTGTCAGTCGGACCGTCAGCGGCAGTCTGAGCGCCAACACCCTCAGCAGCACCAGCTCCAGGAGAACCCTCAGACCCAGCAGCTCCAGCACCCACAGTACGAGCACCTCCGGGACGCTCAGCAGCAGTACCCTCTGCAGCCGAAGAACCTCCAGCACCAGCAGCACGCCTCCAGCGCCGGGCAAACCACTCACGCAGCTCCTGTGGAGGGAGTGGCTCTCGACGAGACGAAGCACCTCCAGGCGTAGCACCCCCAGTCTCAGCACCCCCAGGCTCAGCACCCTCAGGCCCAGCACCCCCAAGCTCAGCACCCCCAGGCTCAGCACCCCCAGGCCCAGCACCCCCAGGCTCAGCACCCCCAGACTCAGTACCCCCAGGCTCAGCACCTCCAGACTCCGCACCCCTAGGCTCAGCACCCCCAAGTGTAGCACCTCCAGGCTCAGCACTCCCAGGGTGAGCTCGCGCAGCAGCACCAGAGTCACCAGTGACCTCGACAGGCTCGACCGCGTCTACCTGGGACACACCTGAAGGGGCAGGACCCTGAGGGGGGAGGGGGTCTACCGGGGGGGGACCTGGTACCAAGAAGAGCGGGGGCGGGGGGAGGGACGGAGTGCGGTAGGGGAAGAGGCGGTTGTAGGGTACCGACTCGTCGAACGTGACGTCCTGGGAGGACAGAACACGTCGAGAGGTGGGGTGGTAGAACTGCCACCCAGGGGCGTCGGGGGGGAACCCCAGGGAGACGCAGGGAGCAGCGCGAGGGGACAGGTTGTCCGCAGACAAGTTGCGGACAAACGCCCGAGATCCCCAGACCCGGAACGCCGACGCATCGCCAACCTTCCCCGTCCACAGCAGGGCTGGGGAGGTCTCCGGCTTGGAGACCCTGGGGTGGAGGTTGATCTGATGCGCTGCGTACCTGACCGCAAACGGCCACAGAAAATGGGGGGCAGCCGCATGCATCATGGACGTACGAGCGACGTCCATGACCATGCCAATGCGGCGCTCAGCAATCCCATTTTGCTACGGGGAGTCCGGAAGCGTGAAGGTCTGGCGGATGCCTCGCGCACGATAGTAGGCACGCAGAAGGCCAGAGGAGAACTCTCCGCCTCTGTCCGAGTGCAGACGCAACACAGGAAAGTCCGAGCCAAAGCTCTGCCTGAGCTGGAGACAAGCTGCGCAGATCCAGTCGATCAGCACCTCAGTGACATCACCCTTGCTGCGGAAGGGGAAGACTGTGGTGTAACGCGAGTAGTCGTCAACCACCAACAGGAAGTAGCGCTCGTGACCGAGTCCACGGACGCGGGCAGGGCCCCACACGTCCATGTGAAGCGTCTGCAACGGAGCCTCTGTCGGAGGAAACTGGGAGGAGTGAGGGGCAGCACGCTGGCGCCCCTCGACACAGGGGACACAGGCAGAGCCAGGGCCCTGAGGAAGGGGAGGTAGAGACCGGGGGAGACCAGACACAAGAAGACGGGAGGCCATGCCTCTGAGCCGAAGCAGAGAGGGGTGGCCAAGGCGGTGGTGCCAGAGGAGGGTCTCGTGAGACAGACGGCGACACGAACAGGGGGCAGACTCAGGACCAGACCTGGACGCTGCAGCAAACACCTGACCAGACGAAGGGACTCTACCAGACTCAGCACCTGGAGGAGAAGCAGTGGTCAGTGTGTACAGGCTCGACCCTGGCTGACGTGTAAACGTAGCCAGGTGACGACCCGTGCTAGCCTCTGTGCAGTGCGTCACTCGCTGACGAGCAGGGGTGAACTGGTGGACTCCCGCATCCTGTAGGTCAGCACCACTCACCAAGTTCGTAGAGAACGAGGGGAGGTAGAGACCAGACAGGGTGCCAGAGGGAGCCGCCGGACACGGGAGGACTGTGGAGAAGCGAGACAGGACAGGACCCCCAGAGGGGTCAGCCAGGGAAACCGCAACCGGCCGACTAAGCGGCGTAAGTGTGGTGCGGTCCCGAAAGAAAGAGCGAGACGCTCCAGAGTCAAGAGTGAAGGTGTGGGAGGCCGAAGCCGATGCAGTACCTGAGAGCGCAGACGCACTAGTACCTGAGAGAGCAGTCTCACGAGCACCTGAGAGCACAGACGCACTGGCACCTAGAGCAGAAGCCTCACCGGCACCTGGAGCAGCAGTACCAATGCCCGGGTCGGGCGGGAAACACCGGTAACAGTCACCCTCATCACTAATGGTCATAGCATACACGGCAGCAAGGATAGCATCAAAATCAAGATCAAAGATAGCTACACCAGCACTAGACAGCTCTCCCCAGCGGGGGATCTCCGCGGCCTCCGGGAACTGCTGACGCCAAGCGTCCGTCAGGCGGCCAAAGCAGCGCTGGGGGGGGTGGGCACCCCCACACTGCTCTCCAGTGCGGTCGCCAGTGCGGAGAACGTAGGTGCAGGGACCAAAACCCCCACCGCGCTGACGCTGCGTGTACCACTCACGGAGCTGCTGAGGGGTGGGGACGGCGCGAGAACGCTGCTGCTGCTGCTGCTGCTGGCGCTGACCGCCACCAGTGCCGCTCCGCTGCGAAGCTCCACTCCGACCACCTCCACCTCCGCCACCCCCGCCTCCGCCTCCACCGCCACCGCCTCCGCCACCTCCGCTACCACCGCCACCGCCGCCACCACTCCCGCCTCCACTGCCGCCACTAGCACCCCCACCCCCGCTACCACCTCCACCGCCACCCCCACTCCCTCCGCCGCCTCCACCACCACCGCCACCGCCCCCACTGGCCCCACCCGCTCCCTTGCCCCCCTTGCCCTTTCCAGAGCGGCGTCTCCCGCTAGGGGCAGACGCCGCACCGACCGACTCAAGACCAACGAGGTCGGCCGCAGCGGCAGAGGCGACAGAGGGCAGGAGAGGGGAAGGAGAACACCCCTCAAAGATGGGGGCGCGGGGGTCACCTCGAGAGGCTCCTACAGCAACTATGCTCTTCTCTGCTGCAAGGAGGGCCTTCTCGAGGCTGTCGACTGTGAGGGTGGTGGGACAGACCTCGAGGAAGTGGTCCCGGACTACACGAAGGGAGTCAGGGAGGCGAGTGACTAGGAAGTAGAGAGTGATGTACATGGGGGGGGGGGTTCTTGGCGCAGAAGTCAGCAGGAAGCGCAGCGCGGTGGCGAGTGTCACTAGTGCAGAGGTGCGTGATGAGATCAGCGACAGTGGGAAAGGCGGCAAGGTCACGGAAGAGGAAGGGGAGCATGAGGCGGCTCAGTGCAGTAGTGGCAGGGGAGGAGTAGCGCGCAACTACAGGGTCGTACAAGGTCTGAGCACTCTTGTACTGGCTAAAGTGCGCGCGCTCAGCGGTAGGCAGGTGGCGACGCACAGCAAGACGTGCAGCAGCATCGCGCGTGGCCCACTGAGAGCGAACAGTGGCGTCAGCATCAGCAGCAGGGGCAGGGACGGCGCCAGAGGTGAGGTCAAAGAGAGACAGACCGTCGGCCCTGTCGCACTGTAAAAACAGCTGCAGGTCGTCGAGCCAGACCTCAAAGTCAATGGCTCGACCCTCAGCGTCAAAAGCGAGGACACTGGGTGTAGCCATGATGACGACAGTGGCGCAGTGCAAGCAGTAGGGGAAGGGTACGTAGTGACAGCAGTGCAGTGCTCACCGGGCAGGGCAGGTCGGGCGGCTCGGGAGGAAGGTCGCCTGGCGACACGGCCGCTAGGCTGCTGGGCGGCTCGGCTCCCGGGCGGCTCGGCTGCTGCTGGGCGGCTCGGCTGCAGCTGGGCGGCTCGGCGGCTCCTGGGCGGCTCGGCTGCTGCTGGGCGGCTCGGCGGCTCCGAGCGGCTCGGCTGCTGCTGGGCGGCTCGGCGGCTCCGGGCGGCTCGGCTGCTGCTGGGCGGCTCGGCTGCTGCTGGGCGGCTCGGTGGCTCCTGGGCGGCATGGCTGCTCCGGGCGGCTCGGCTGCTACTGGGCCGCGTAGGTAGGGCGGCCGGGCGGGCCGCAGGTAGGGCGGCGGGTAGGCCGCATGTAGGGCGGCGGGACGGCGGCAGGTAGGGCGGCGGACGGCCGCAGGTAGGGCGGCGGGTAGGCCGCAGGTAGGGCGGCGGGACGGCCGCAGGTAGGGCGGCGGACGGCCGCAGGTAGGGCGGCGGGTAGGCCGCAGGTAGGGCGGCGGGACGGCCGCAGGTAGGGCGGCGGACGGCCGCAGGTAGGGCGGCGGGTAGGCCGCAGGTAGGGCGGCGGGACGGCCGCAGGTAGGGCGGCGGACGGCCGCAGGTAGGGCGGCGGGGAGGCCGCAGGTAGGGCAGCGGGTGGGCCGCGACAGAGTGGCGGGGCCGCTCGAAGGAGTGGCGGGGCCGCGACGAAGTGGCGGGGCCGCGCGAAGAGGTAGCGGGGCCGCGACTGGGTGGCGGGGCCGCGACGGAGTGGCGGGGCCGCGACAGAGTGGCGGGGCCGCGACGAAGGGGCGGGGCCGCTTGAAGGGGTGGCGGGGCCGCTACGGAGTGGCGGGGCCGCGCGTAGGGGTAGCGGGGCCGCGACTGGGTGGCGGGGCCGCGACGGGACGGCGGGGCCGCTAGCAAGGGCGGCGGGTGGGCCGCTAAGGTAGGGCGGCGGCTGGGCCGCGAGTAGGGCGGCGGTCGGGCCGCGAAGTAAAAGGGCGACTCGGAGGGTCGCAAAAAAAAAAGGCGCGCACCTCGGGCGCGCTTCGGTGGGCCCTAAAGAACAATCCCTAGGATGGGACCTGCTCTGATTCCATGTGAAGAAAGGAACGTGAATGAAATGACTACGAATGAAGTGAGTACAAATAGGAAACCCTAGTTGGGTTGTACCCCCTATGGGATACCCCACTATAGCCTACACAAATAAGTAAGTGTGAAAAGAGTAAGCAGGAATGAATGAACTATGAATGAAAGCAGTACAAATATGAAACCCTAACTGGGTTGTACCCCCTATGGGATACCCCACTACAGCCTACACAGCAGTATAAGCTATAGATATGTTCTGACACACCCCCATAGGCAAAGTGGGGGAGAACAAGGGGTCACAAGACCAGTCAAGCAAGACAAAGCAAAGCTCAGGGTGGATCACAAAGTCACCACACAGTCCGAGCACAAGAGCAAGGCCAAAGGCCAGTTCACAAGCAAGAGTACAGACATATATATAAAGCTAGACAAGCAAGAGCAGGTATATATATATGTCACAGTACAAGTGAAGTCAAGAGGAGAGCAAGTGAGGCAAGACAGGCACAAGACCCAGCTGGGTGCAGAAGCGCTGATGGTCACAAGGCGCAAGTGCCTTGGTGAACACATCAGCAGTGTTGGCCTCAGAGGCCACGTACGCAAGTCGCAACTGACCACGCTGCTGCAGCTCACGAGCAAGGAAGTAGCGGAGAGCAATGTGCTTCGTTCTGTGCTCCAAGCGCTGCTCTCGACACAAGGCCAGCATGGCCTTGTTGTCTACGTACAGCACTGGAGGAGAACGAGGCGGCTCTCCAAGGTCAGTCAGAAGGTAGGTGAGCCAGCGAAGCTCCTGTGCAGCCATGGCCCCGGCGTAGATCTCAGCCTCACAACTGGAGCCGAGAACCGAAGACGAGCGAGTAGACCGCCACGAGACAGAGCCGGAACCAAGGCTGAAGGTGTAACCCTGTGACGACCGCTGCGTAGCCTGGTCGTCAGCCCAAGACGCGTCCGCGTGGCCGGTAAGGACCACTGGACCCCGCCCTCCAAGCACTAGCCCCATGCCTGACGTACTGCACAGGTAGCGCAATACCCTCTTCGCTGCAGCCATGTGCTCCGGTCTGTGTCTCCCAGGAGCAACATAGCGTGCAAGAATGCTCAGAGGGTATGCAAGGTCAGGTCGTGTGCAGGTCATCAGGTACATGAGGCAGCCAACAAGCTCCGCATACGGACCACTCGACTCTACGGACTCATCCGAAGGCAGAGCTGAGAGTGAGTGCGAGTAGGCAGAGGAGTGGCCTGAGGCGAGGAGTACGTGAAGCCGAAGCGCTGAAGGACCTGCTGCACCATGTGTGACTGAGTCAAGGTAATGGTGCGGCGTGCTCTGTCCCGAGTGATCTGCAAGCCAAGGTAGCTGCGCAGTTCACCCAGGTCTGTGCACGTGTGTCTCTTCAACAGCTCGGACTTCACGTAGGCGAGTCCAGCAGTGTCCGCTGTGGCAAAGACCAGGTCGTCGACGTACACGAGGATGTAGAACGGCGGCAGGGAAGTGTCGGTGCGAAGAAACAGCGACGGGTCAGCAGTAGAAGGAGCAAACCCAAGAGCCGCAAGCGTAGTCCTCAGTGTGTCGTGCCACTCACGCGGTGCCTGGCGGAGACCGTAGACTGGCCGTCGGAGGCTCCACTGGGTGCCAGGAGGGAAAGTCCCAGTGAAGCCAGGTGGACGGCGAAGCCAGATCTCCTCGTGCAGGCTACCCTGCAAGAACGCAGTGCTGAAGTCGAGAGAGTGAAGCTCGTAGTCGCGCTGAGCGGCTATGTGCAGCAGCACCCGAAGAGTAGTCATCTTCGGGGTGGGAGAGAAGGTCTGAAAGTAGTCAACTCCCTGCCGCTGACTGAAGCCACGAGCAACGTACCGTGCCTTGAAGACAGGTGGAGAGCCCGGCGGCCGCTTCACCCTGAAGATCCACATGCCACTGACGATGTTCGCCCCAGGAGGGGGAACCGCGTCAACGTAGGTGCCTGTGGACTTCTAGGAAGCCATCTCTGCATCCATAGCTGCCTGCCACTGAGAGGAGTAGGGACCCTCTACGGCCTCCGCGTAAGAACGCGGAGTCGGGATGTCTAGTGCATCCGGGTCTCCCTCAGGGGCAAGCAGTACAGACGCGAGATGAGGTGAAGCAGCCGCTAGACACTGTAACTCCTCCTGCCTGTCCTCTAGGACGTCTGTGCCAAGAGCACACTCACCCCCGACGGACGGAGGACAGACAGACGCAGACTCAGCAACAAGACTAGCAGCGTAGTCGAGACGACAGCGAGCAGCAAAGTCGACGAGCTCAGCGACTAGAGCAGACGCAGCAGTGGACTCAAAAGAGGGGTCAGTGACGACAGTAGCAAGCAGACGCGTGACAGTGGGACTGGCAGCACGAAGAGAGTCCGACTCAGGGTCCGCAAGCGCAGGAAGAGAGGACTCAGGAGGAGAAGGCAAAGGGGCACGCAGAGGAGCAGTGGACGGACGCAAAGACATCCGGTGCGTGCCAGGGACAGGAGGAGGACGCTGACGCGAACTGCGACCACTAGCGCGAGCAGCACGAACAGGCGACGCGGGACGAGACGCAGGCTCACGACGCTCAGCAAGACCTCCAGTAGGACCAGTGTAAGGAGAGGGAGCAGGCAGCGGAGAGGAAGGCTCCAGTAGGGGCTGCGACTGGACAGGCGGTGGACCCTCTACTGGAGGAGAAAGACCAAGAACCTGCTGAAGGAGCGGAACGAAGTACGGCCGAGGCCGCGCGGCAGCTCCAGACTCAGCAGGGACAGCACCAGCACCCTCAGCGACAGCACCAGCGCCACCCACACCTCCAGCGGCAGGACCAACAGCAGCAGGCTCAGCACGAACGCCCTCAGCAGCTCCAGCTCCAGGAGGACCTGCAGGGCCAGCAGCTCCGGGACCGGCTGCACCCGCACCCTCGACGGTCGAAGAAGCTCCAGCTCCAGCTCCAGCAGCACCTCCAGACTCAGCAGCACGCCTCCAGCGGCGAGCGAACCACTCGCGCAGCTCCTGTGGAGAGAGGGGCTCCCGGCGAGACGCAGCAGCAGGAGAAACCCCAGGCTCAGTAGCTCCAGACGCAGCACCCCCAGGCTCAGCAGCTCCCAGCTCAGCACCCCCAGGCTCAGCAGCTCTCGACCCAGCACCCCCAGACCCAGCACCTCCAGGCACAGCACCCCCCGGCTCAGCACCCCCAGGCTCCGCACCCTCCGCAGTAGCACCCTCAGGCCCAGCACCCCCAGCAGTAGCACCCCCAGGCTCAGCACCCCCGCGCACAGCACCCCCAGAGTCAGCACCCCCAGGCTCAGCACCCGCAGCAGCACCAGAGTCACCAGTAACCTCGACCGGGTCAACGGCGTCTACCTGGGACACACCTGAGGGGGCAGGAACCTGAGGGGGGAGGGGGTCTACCGGGGGGGGAACCGGCACAAGGAAGTCCGGGGGAGGGGGGAGGGAAGGAGTGCGGTAGGGGAAGAGACGGTAGAAGGGGACTGACTCGTCGAACGTGACGTCCTGGGAGGACAGAACACGACGAGAGGAGGGGTGGTAAAATTGCCACCCTGGGGCGTCAGTGGGGAAGCCAAGGAAGACACAGGGAGCAGCACGAGGGGACAGCTTGTCCGCAGACAAGTCGCGGACAAACGCCCGAGATCCCCAGACACGGAACACAGACGCATCGCCAACCTTCCCCGTCCACAGCAAGGCTGGGGACATCGCTGGCCGAGAGACCCGGGGGTGAAGGTTGAGCTGATGCGCCGCGTACCTCACCGCAAACGGCCACAGAAAATGGGGGGCAGCTGCATGCATCATGGACGTACGAGCGACATCCATGACCATGCCAATGCGGCGCTCAGCAATCCCATTTTGCTGTGGTGAGTCCGGAAGCGTGAAGGTCTGGTGGATCCCCCGTGCACGACAGTAGTCTCGCAGAAGGCGAGAAGAGAACTCTCCGCCTCTGTCAGAGTGCAGACGCAGAACAGGAAAGTCCGAGCCGAAGCTCTTCCTGAGCTGGAGACGAGCCTCGCGGATCCATTCGATCAGCACCTCAGTGACCGCACCCTTGCTGCGCAAGGGGAGGACTGTGGTGTAACGCGAGTAGTCGTCAACCACCAACAGGAAGTAGCGCTCGTAACCCTGCCCACGGACGGGGGCTGGGCCCCACACATCCATGTGAAGCGTCTGCAGGGGAGCCTCTGTCGGGGGGAAGTGGGAGGAGTGAGGAGTAGCCCGGAGGCGACCCTCGACACAGGGGACACAGGAAGGTCCTGGCCCGGAGGGGAGAGGAGGGAGAGACTGGGGAAGACCAGAGACAAGGACACGGGAAGCCATGCTCCGAAGACGGGGCAAGGAGGGGTGGCCAAGACGGTGGTGCCACAGGAGAGTCTCGTGAGACAGGAGGCGACAAGAACAGGGGGCAGACTCAGGACCTGACCGGGACGCAGCAGCAAGTACCTGACCCGACGCAGCCACCTGACCAGACGCAGGGACAGGAGGAGACTCAACGGTCAGGGTGTAGAGACTCGACCCCGGCCGACGTGAGAACGTGGCCAGGTGTCGGCCTGTGCGAGCCTCCGTGCAGTGGGTCACCCTCTGACGCGCAGGAGTGAACTGGTGAACACCCCCATCCTGCAGGTCCGCTCCACTCACCAAGTTCGTAGAGAACGAGGGAAGGTACAGACCCGACAGGGTGCCCGAAGGGGCAGCCGGACACGGGAGGACAGTGGAGAAGTGAGACAGGACAGGACCCCCAGAGGGGTCAGCAAGGGAGACCGCAACCGGCCTGGCGAGCGGCGAAAGGGTAGTGCGGTCTCGAAAGAAGGAGCGAGAAGCTCCGGAGTCAAGTGTGAAAGTGAGGGAGGACGAGGACGACTCAGTACCTGAGAGCGCAGTCTCACCAGTACCTGAGAGCGCAGACGCACTGGCACCTAGAGCAGCAGCCTCACAAGCACCTAGCGCAGCAGTACCAATGCCCGGGTCGGGCTGAAAACACCGGTAACCCTCATTCTCCTCACTATAATCCACAACATACATAGCAGTAAGGATAGCATCAAAATCAAGATCAAAGATCGCTACACCAGCCCTGAGAAGCTCATCCCAGCGAGGGATCTCACTAGCCCCAGGGAACTGCTGACGCCAAGCGTCCGTCAGGCGGCCAAAGCAGCGCTGGGTGGCGTGGGCACCCCCACACTGCTCACCCGCGCGGTCGCCGGAACGAAGAACGTAGGTGCAGGGACCAGTACCCCCACCCCTCTGACGCCCAGCGTACCACTCACGAAGCTGCTGAGGCGAAGGGATGTCCCGCGAGCGCTGCTGCTGCTGCCGGTGCGAGCGCTGGCCACCACCACCGCCGCTACGCTGCTGGGTACCACCCCGACCAGCTCCACCTCCTCCACCACTACTGCCTCCTCCGCTGCCGCCTCCACTGCCTCCACCTCCGCCGCCTCCACCTCCGCCACTGCCTCCACCACCACCGCTGGCACCACCACCACCGTCTCCGCCGCTGCTGCCGCCACCACCACCACCACCCCCGCCACTAGCCCCGCCGCCACCCCCACTCCCTCCGCCGCCACCGCCGCCACCGCCACCGCCCCCTCTAGCTCCACCCGCGCCCTTGCCCCCCTTGCCCTTGCTGGAGCGACGTCTCCCACTAGGGGCAGACGCCGCGCCGACCGACTCAAGACCAAGCAGGTCGGCAGCAGCAGCAGAGGCAACAGAGGGCAGCAAGGGGGAAGGAGAGCACCCCTCAAAGATGGGGGTGCGAGGGTCACCACGAGAAGCACCTACAGCGACTATGCTCTTCTCCGCTGCAAGGAGGGCCTTCTCGAGGAGGTCGACGGTGAGAGTGGTGGGACAGACTGCGAGAAAGTGGTCCCTGACGACGCGAAGGGAGTCAGGGAGGCGTGCGACTACGTAGTAGAGAGCGATGTACATGGGGGGGGGGTTCTTAGCGCAGAACTCAGCAGGAAGGGCGGCGCGGTAGCGAGTGTCACTAGTGCGGAGGTGCGTAATGAGGTCAGCGACAGTGGGAAAGGCAGAGAGGTCAGGAAAGAGGTAGGGAAGCATGAGACGGCTCAGTGCAGCAGTGGCAGGGGAGGAGTAGCGCGCAACTACAGCGTCGTACAAGGTCTGAGCACTCTTGTACTGACTAAAGTGCGCACGCTCAGAGGTAGGGAGGTGGCGACGCACAGCAAGACGTGCAGCAGCATCGCGGGTGGCCCACTTAGAGCGGACAGCGGGATCAGCATCAGCAGCAGGAGCAGGAGAGGCGCCAGAGGTGAGGTCAAAGAGAGAAAGGTCGTCAGCCCTGTCGCACTGTAAGAACAGCTGCAGGTCGTCCAACCAGACCTCAAAATCAATGGCGCGACCCTCAGCGTCAAAAGCTAGGACACTAGGGGTAGCCATGGCGACGACAGCGACGCAGTGCAAGCAGTAGGGAAAGAGCTCGCAGTGGCAGTGGGACTGTGCTCACCAGGCAGGGCAGGTCGAGTAGGTATGCAGAAAGGCGGCTCAGCGACCTGGCGGCTCGGGTGCTGGGCGGCTCGGGCGCAGGGCGGCTCGGCTCCCGGGCGGCTCGGCGGTAGGGCAGCTCGGGGGCAGGGCGGCTCGGCTCCTGGGCGGCTCGGCGACAGGGCGGCTCGGGTGCAGGGCGGCTCGGCTCCCGGGCGGCTCGGCTGCAGGGCGGCTCGGCTCCCGGTAGTAGGGAGGGGGGGGGGCCGCGGTCGAGCAGGCGGCCGGGGCCGCGGTAGTAGCGGGCGGCGAGGCCGTGCGAGCAGGCAGCCGGGGCCGCGACAGGAGCGGGCGGCGTGGCCGCGGTCGAACAGGCGGCTGGGGCCGCGGTCGTAGCAGGCGGCCGGGGCCGCGATCGTAGTGGGCGGCGGCCGCGGCGTAGCGGGCGGCAGGGCCGCGTCGAGCAGGCAGCCTGGGGCTGCGTCGAGCAGGCGGCTGGGGGCCGCGACAGGAGCGGGCGGCGGGGCCGCGGTCGAACAGGCGGCTGGGGCCGCGGTCGTAGCAGGCGGCCGGGGCCGCGGTCGTAGCAGGCGGCGGCCGCGGCGTAGCGGGCGGCAGGGCCGCGTCAAGCAGGCGGCTGGGGGCCGCGTCGAGTAGGCGGCTGGGGGGCGCGACAGGAGCGGGCGGCGGGGCCGCGGTCGAACAGGCGGCTGGGGGGCCGCGGTCGTAGCAGGCGGCAGCCGCGGCGTAGCGGGCGGCAGGGCCGCGTCGAGCAGGCGGCTGGGGGCCGCGTCGAGCAGGCGGCTGGGGTGGCCGCGTCGAGCAGGCGGCTGGGGCCGCGATCGTAGCGGGCGGCTGGGGCCGCGACTTAGCGGGCGGCTGGGCCGCGTGTGGGAGGGAGGCGACACGGAGGGTCGCTCGATAGCGGAAAAAAAAGTTGAGCGCGCCTCGGGGCGCGCTTCGGTGGGCCCTAGGCAGAGTTCCACAGGGAACCCGCTCTATACCATGTGAAAAGAGTAAGCAGGAATGAATGAACTATGAATGAAAGCAGTACAAATATGAAACCCTAACTGGGTTGTACCCCCTATGGGATACCCCACTACAGCCTACACAGCAGTATAAGCTATAGATATGTTCTGACAGTAAGCTATAATATTCTGACATATATGGCCTGAAATAACATATTACGTACCTCTCCTCGAAATATTTATACGGTACCGTATGGCCCCGGATAAAAGCGCATATGCGCTTATAATAAGTTTTTTTTTTTTCAGGGGTGGCGCTTGTAATTGAGGAATGGCCATAAGCGCCGGCGCTTATATAATGACAAATTCGATTTTTTACTTTAAAGGTACCAAACTGTACCTTTCGTTGTAGCCATTTCAAACGAGTCGAACTATTATAGCGTCACAAAGCAGAATCGCGCGCAAGCGATTCTGCTTCTTGAACACGGGCAAATTCGAGTCACTTTGCAGGCATGCCAGCACATCCTGACTGGACGCGCAGCCAGTCAGGTCTTCGCGAGTCAAACAAAGCGAAAATGAAATTTGACTCGCTGCAAAACTGAAATTCGTTACGATATCACCTGATATTTAAATAAAAAATGCACACGGCGCTTATAATAAGTAATGGATTTTCAGGGGGGGGCGCTTATAATCGAGGATCGGCCATAAGCGCCATGCTCCAGATAGAAGCGCCGGCGCCTGTAATAGGTCGGCGTCTATATCCGGGGCCATACGGTAACTGTGAATGGCCTCCTTTTATATTTTCCGTATAAACAACACCAGCAAGTACCGGTAAGTCCAGCCCAGAATCAGCACAAACACAATCAGACAACACCAGTGCTAGAAACTCCTCGCCAGCCCAAGCGCCCTGTCATCTGTTGGAAACAATAAGTCTTAGTGCGCTTCTGTCGTGTCAAAACCCAAGACACTAGCGAAGGAGTCCGAATCGAAGCATCGAGTCAAACCTCGGAGGTTATGGTAACCGCCTGGAGGTTACGGGAAAGTCAAAGGTCAGCGACCTTTGACTCGACAATTACAGCGCGACAGTTAAGGACACACAACTGACTCGTTACAGAGCAGTTGCCCGAGTCGCACTGTATCAAATCGCAACAGCAAATACAGTTATCTATCCATTCGTATTCCCTGTACTCTTATATAAAACCTTGTATTTGCTTGTTTAATTTAATCCACTTTGCTCTCACACACTAGTGCAAGGTCGGTTCACAAACTTCATTAAAACGCTTCCGCTATTACAAATATCCTACCCAGAGTTATCCTCTGCAAAGATCCTTAAGGGCTTTCTCAGCCCAACATGGTATGAGAGCTGACAGGGGAAAACTCTAACTTTTTGATCATTACAAGACATGGCAACAAACAAGGAAAGGAGCTCCCCTAATGGCTCCTCGGGCACTACTCCTACTCCACCGCCAGCCTCTGGCCTGCAGACAGAGGAAGGCACGGCAGCAAGACCAAGGGGAACGTCAACCGAGACCCCCACGAACCATCCTTCTGACTTCGACCAGAGCATGATGGAGAAATTTTTCTCCTTCATGTCCTTCTACGAGCAACACCAGCAGTCGGGACCTGCACAGACACACAACAGCAACAACGGAGCGACACCCATGAGCCTTGACGGATCGTCATATGCGCGAGGGAATCAACAGCAGCAACCCACCTTTGCCCCGTACGAGCGCGGGTCGATCAGCTTCCTGCCTCAACCTTCACCTGCGCAAGACAAACCAATGGACGCTTTACAAGTTCAGTCACAATTCGCGCATGTCCTGAAACTGCAAACATCAAGACCCTTCGACGGAAAGGACTTCTTCACCTGGTCCTTTGAATTCGAGCTGATGATGGAGGGCGCGCAGATACTCGGCTTCTTCGACGGATCCCTGCAGTATCTAGCAAACGGCACACAGTATGAGAAGCAGCAGTATACGTATCAATCGATGATGGCGTATACTATTCTACTGAGAAACATCACACCAACTCAGCAGCAGAACATTCGCTCTTACCGGAACTTCGGCAACTCGGCGGAACTCGCGTACGGCCATCTAAAGAACCTGTATCAAGCAACAGACAGTGTAAACCAGAGCAGGTTAATGGCGCAATTGACAACAGTTGAAATGAAACCAGGAGAAAAGGGATTGGCGTATATCAGCCGATGTCGCGAATTGCGCGACAAGCTTCTTCGATGCGGAGGATCAATCTCTGAAGACGCCTTCGTGACAGTCATCATCGGTGGCCTCGGTCCTCAGTGGCGCGCCACCAAAGCAATTCTTCGAGCCCACGGAAGAATCTCTGAAGCAGCACTTTGCGCCGAAATCCACGCCGAGCAGCAGGACATGGACCTGCAAGAAGAAAGGCACAAGAAAAAGGCATTAGCACCGGAGTTCGCTTTCCATACTCAGCGACGACACAACAACTACAACAACCGACAGCAGCAGCCGAAGCTAGTACCTCCGTTTTGTCACATCTGCAAAACATCAGGACATCCACGCACGCATTGCCCGTCCCGTCAGACAACACCACAGCGACAACTGCGGCCTTCAAGCTCCCAAGTTGCTTCGACACAAGCAAGTCCGACAACCACGATTCAAGCTTCAACGACTTCAACTGGACAACCTGCACAAGGAGCAAGAAACATAGTCAACTGCATGGTCAAGATAAACGATTCTTGCATAACAGAGTCACCACCCCACTACTCACCAGAAGAGGAGCTCGACAACAGGACGCCCCGCCGCGAATCACTCCACCCAAATCCGACTTACGCCGCCATCGCTCAAAGTGAACCGTCCGGCCAAGACACTTGGTTCTTGGATAGTTGCTGCGGGCAACACATGTGCTCGTCCGGACGCTTCGTACAACGCGAACACCGACTCCAACGAGAAGTTGTCATCACGGTCGCCAACAATCAAAACCTGCGCACACGACGACAAGGAGTGGTACAGCTTCAGTCAAGAGAAACAAATGTCATACTGCACATGTCAAAGGTACTCATCGCTGAAGGACTCGGTTACAACTTACTGAGTGTTAGCCAGTTGATGGCGAAGGGGATTCACCTGGAAGCCGATAGCACCACCCAAGAGTTCAAGCTATACCACGGGAGAGGCGGTCTCTACATCGGGAAAGCAGTATTGAAGAACAATGTCTTCGTCCTCGACTTCGTTCCTGACCTGGGCACTGCAGACAGCGACGCCATCGTGAACTTTACCGACCTGACACACCCTCCGGATCTCGACCCCGACTTCAGCCCGGGAGGTTTCTGGTACTCCCACACTATCCCTGAAGCAGAACGAACACGAGCGTTAGCAACGATTCAACAAACACCAGAAGCAGAGACAACATCGCCAGCAGCAACAACATCGGCAGCAGCAACAACATCGGCAGCAGCAGAGACAACATCAGCAGCAGCAGGAACAACGACACCAGTCACAGTCGACGAAGCACCACCAACACCCGCGCAACAGCTGAATCCGACTCAACGTGAAGTCCACCGAAGCGCCAACTTCGTCGCCAATTTTTACTCCAACTCCGACGCATACCAACGTTCACCCGGACACCGCGCCTCTGAAGAGATCTGGCACGCACGCACAGGACATCCAAGCAACACGGTTTTAAATAACATGATAAGAGCAGGAGTTCTTGACAAAGACTCCCTACTTCTACCCGATGGCAGAGAACTCCAGAAGGCACGAGGGACTTGCCTTATATGCCCCGAAGCTGACTTACCTCATCGACCGTTCGCTCCACATCACAACCCGAGCGCTCCAGCGTACGCACCACTCGAAAAGGTCTACAGCGACATCCTCTACAATCGCGAACCTGGACAAGTCACCTACAACTACACCATCACCTTCATCGACGATGCCACTCGATACGTCTGGCATCGCAATCTACCCAGCCGCGACATGGCACTCGCAGCATTCGCCGCCTGGCTACCGATAGCAG